ATTCATGTCTTTTATCTGTGAAAACAAATTTTTGGAGCTATGGATAGCACTATAACGTTGTTGAAGAATACAGCAAAGGGATATTTGTATTTTTTTCTTTTAAATTTCTCTCAGTAAACAGGTCTGTATAAGAGTCAAATATTTGTAATTAAAACCTTCAAGTATTTACACTTGAATATTTAACTGTGTCAGCATCTGAATATTTTTTCTTACGGAAAGTACATGTTTTCTAAATAACACCTTTTTACTTTCTGGTTGTGAAACTATCTTTTATTTCTATTTGTCATACAAATACATTTAAATCTTTCTCTATAGGATGTATTCTGTCTGCCTGAAAGTCAAGGTTAGGGTTTTGTTGTGGATAGATGAGGAAGCAGAAGTATTGAGATAGACCACACATACCTACAGTAGTACCTATATATCAGTGACAGTCACTTCTGTATATCTTTGTATATTTTAGGCAGCGGATTTACCCATTTTTAGCCAACTGACCTTTCCCAGTGCTTGATGAAGCGTGGGGCATGTGTCAAAGTGAACTGAAGCTCCAGTCTAGGATTATGATACTAAAGGATGGGGAATATCTAGAAGCTCTCATGAGACCAGATATGTCCATATGTTAGGGGTGTGCATGCCCTTTTAGTTAATTCGTGTTCTGGAGAGAAATCGGGGAACAAAGTAGAAGTTGGGTAACTTCTCTCTTATAACTAGACTTATCAGCAGCAATGAAGCTGTCACTCTCATGTGCTGACTAGCCTGCATACGCTCATGTCTTCATCCTTCAAGATTAGAGTAGCACATGGTGCTGCATCTTGGGCTGCACCTTGTATTGATGTAAGCTAAAAGTACTAGAGAAGGCATTTACTTGCCTAAATGGAGTTTCTCACATTTCTTAAATCAGGCTGAACTCTTTATTGGCAAGCAATATCTTCATTTTGTGAACATGCCCTGTTTTTAAGGGCACTCTGTTTCTGGTTTGATACCGCAACAGAATGATGATACAAATACGTTTTCAGGTTGGCTTTAAGCACATGATGATGATGAGAGTTATTCTCAAATCATTGGAGGAAAGTATTATAGTTAATGGTAAGTTTTGCAAGATCTTCAGAAGCAGAAGGGGTATTAGGAGGTCCAGTAACTAGTTGTTCTTAAAAGTTTTTCAGCTACATTGTGGCAGAAGAATTAAAACAAATGTAACTTGCAATCTGCCATTTTACCTTCAAGAAAAGTGTTTGTACGGGATTTCATTGTAAGGACATCAACTCACATGTGTAATAATAAAAAACAATGGTGCATATGCAGCTCTATTAGTGTAGGGTCATAAATGTGTAAGTGATGTGCTTTGTTTTCCCATACAGTACGTAGGAAGTAAACTAAGAAGTTAGCATTTCAGCAAGAATTACTTTGAAATAAAGCATGTAAATTGAGTCCTTAAGGAAGAACTATGCTACTGGAACAAACTCAAAAGTAAAACCTGTTTCAGAAATACTTTTTTGGATCCTCTTCCATTTGTCTCTCAAGCAATTCTTCCTCTTTTCTTTGATGCTTAGGGAAGATAATACTTTTAATAAAGGCTTTCTTCTATACCTGGGCTGCTTTCATAATGTTGATAGCTTACTGAAACTGTAATGAAATAATGTTTTACGACTATTATTGTGGAAATAATTAGATGTCCCCAGTTAATGCCTGAAGTGATAACATTGCCCTGATTGGATTGTATCCAAAAGTAGCTTGACACTAAGTTCTGCTTAGACCGAAGTATTTTGAGTTTGCAGGAAGAATTTACAGGTGGCTATCTTTGCACAGGGATTAGAGAATGGGAGCAGGACAATGAATTGCGTGATACACGTGTAGTAACCTAACACCAAGTTCTGGGTTGCTCTTGAAAACTTCTTGGTGTTATATATCCATATGCTACTGTGACTTCTGCCTGATGTGGTTGCATCTGCATGGTGACAGTAGCTGAGTTGGGCTTTTATGGAAAGCAGCCTCTAAATAGCTGATTCACACCCACCTAAAGATACAATGTATGAAGACATCTTCTATTTGAAACCTAAGAGCTTTCATGAGTAAATATTTATCATAAATTTTTTTTTGTTGTTCTCCAGAACGAAATGGACTTGAGGAGTCATGTTCTTTGTGCTTCTATCTGTGCATTTTCCCTGAATAATTTCCTGAAGCAACTTTTGAACCTATTGAAAACTTAATTAGATTTGACAGGAAGGCTGTTTTGTAAATTTACTAAGCTTGTATGAATTTAATGGAAATTCAGGAGCATACAAAGTCCAAAGTATTACCTTAAAGAAGGCAAAAGACATAGTATGAATTCACCACCTGTCTAATCTGCTTGCTGATCTGCTAGCTCTTCATCATGCAGCAACAGGTTGCTTCAACATATACATTGTACTGCCCTGTACAGACACTGGAACCTGAAATGATACTTGATGCCTGTTTTTTTTCCAGCCAGTGGTGAAGGCATAGGGACAGGAGGTAAGAGTAGAGTGGGGAGGAGGACATGGTAGGAGATAGGTAGAAGAAACTATATTGGGCGTTGGTAGAAGTGTTTTGGTAAAGGAACACAGAAGATATATGTAGCAAGATAGAGCTCTGTGATGTTGCAATGGGTGGTACGAAGTACAAAATCCATAAGATGACATAGGCTTTTTCTCTTCACATAATGACTTGTTCAGAATAAACAGTCCACTTGCAATGTATGTGCAGCTTATGAATTGCATATGAAGTTCATGTAGAACAAATAAGAAACTATCAAGAAATGAGGGAAAATGTATACTTTCAACAGTTCCAGTGAAAAAAAGTTTAAGAAAATGCACTTGCATAGGTTGCAGGGTGTCTGTGATCAGTGCAGATGTGACTGCAGTTGTGAGTGCTAGTTTTAATGTATTATGGGTACATAATATGGGCAAAAATGACAGTTCCATCAAAGTGACACACCTCTGATTGTACAGGCTGTACAAACCTGTAATGGACACTAAAAGAGTATGTGGTTGTTTGGTCCACTGTTGAAGTTCATGCTGCCATCTGCATAGATACACCTACAATTAAAGTAATGCAAGCATACCTATTTGTGCTGTGAATGCATCTTCATCTTGCTGTACAGCTATCCTGTTGGGTTAAATACTGTCTTGGAAAACCTGCGCTTCACTTTAGGTCTTCAGAAGGCGATGAAAGTTCACTCTGAGCAAAATGTTGTTGACACCATGCTAGTTTTGGAAGCTGGGCTATAGACAGTGTTTTTCACTTGGGACTGCAAATTTGTTATTAGAGCCATGATTGACTTGTCATCAGTGGTTCTCAGTCCTGAGACTGTACAGTTTTTTGGACTTTCACTAGTAATTACTTTTATTTCAAAAAAGCAAAGGTCCCAGAGAGTCTGTGGAACTTGAACTAAGTTGCAATACACTTAAACTCTATACTGGTTCTGACTTTTTGCAAACATGACTGTACAACAAACACCAAATTGTCTTATTTTTAAAATTGATCAGAAAGTCTCCAAATTTTTGCTCATGTAAATCTGAAGTTGTCTTCTTTAATCCTAGTGTTCAGTTACGAGCATCTGTCTTGAAAGATTTAGTAGAGAGCTAATGTGCTAAGGAAGGCTACCACTAATACTTACAAACAACATGATTTGTTTCCTAACCTTCTTATGAACAAATGTGGGAGGATGAAAATGCTGAGATGGTCTTTTGCTTCTCTCTCCTGCAAAATAAGTTGTTTACCTTAGATCTCAGGTACCAGGAGAAAGTTAAGAGGCTTGTTGCTATGGCATACCCATTGTGCTGATATCACTACTGCTTGTTTATCAAGGAAATAACATCTACACGTTAAACAAACTGACCTTGCTGGCTCCAGTGTTTGCTATTTTACCTGAATTAGTTTGAACACACGGTGCTTTCAGCATAGTTGGTCTGATAATGAGCTGTTCTTTTTTAAGTATTGTCACTTTTCCCAATAGGAGCAAGGCAGAAGGACCTCTGTGATTGTTACAGAGGAAGCAGAGCATATGATTGACCACTGTGAGAAAATTCAAGCTGTAGAAAATGTGATTAGAGCTGCCAGCCCCAAAAATGTGCTGTGCATTGCAGCCTATGGAATTCTGTAAGCAGTATATACAATGCAAAAAAGGAAAACACTTATTTTGTGCCGTCATATGGTGTCTTATCTATATGTTATTATCTGAAAGTTCTATTCCTGAATCCTTATTTCACGACTGAGATTTCTTGTACCTATACTTTCATCCGATCCTCTCTTATACCTCTCTTATCCTTCCTGTTAACTGCTTTGATGGACATTGCATCTAATGGGACCGTAGCTGGAAGAAGTAGAGCACTTCAGAAATCTATTTTCTGAGCATTTATATCAACCAAGGCTAGAAAGAAAAATTGCTTTTTGAATTATAAATTAGTGTAATTAATTGTGTAATGCAACTGATCTTTGTAGTGCAAATTTATTATCAAATTATAGTATTGAATTCTGTTTTACAGGAACACAGTCTCAAATTTGAGAATGGGAATGTCAGATATCTAAATGAACGTGTAATTTTCTGTAAATAAAAACCTCATAGTGAACAATACCAAAAACTGAGAAAAATCATAAACTGTGCTAATGTCTTTCAGGGATAAAATTTCCCAACTCTGAAGAAATATAACAAGAGTATTCTAGCCTACATTTTGTTCTGTTTTAATAATGTCCCAACGGCTGCTCTTTGGTGCCAACTTTGATCTCAGTTTCTGCAACAGGAGACAAAGATAGTTTTGCCCAGTGGAGTTTAATTTATGCAAATCAGCAGATGGCTTTGCAGGAATATGATTTGTTATGTTTCCTAAGTGGATGAGTTTGCTTTTTTAAATACCCTGGCAGCAACAGATTTGTCAATATCTTGTGTTATATTTTTGAAATGGCCTTTCAATTACTTTAATTGTGGTTTGTTTGATTTTATTTTTTTTCTCTCTCTCTCTTCCCTCCCTCCTTCCCTCTCTCTATAGATTTTGGGACTTTTCCAAGCCTAACCCTTTGCTGGAAATAGTCGAGCATCATACTGAATTTACATGTGGACTGGATTTAAGTCTTCACAACTGTGGTCAGGTAAGAGCTGGGATGAATTTATTTTTCACTTGCCTATTATAGCCACTGTGGTCATGGCTGGACTGCAGGACTCAGATCCTGAATAAGAGCCACCAGATTGCAGAAAGCTTCTGTAAGTGAGTCTGGCTGAGTGCTTATTAAATAAACCTCACTTCAGGTCCATTTTTATTTATAAAGCAGTTACCTGCTTTCGGTAGGAGAGGAGGGCAAGACAGACAGAATTGCAAAAATCAGATAGCTGAAAGCCACAGTGAGCTCAGGGAAGATGAGGCAGTTTTCTTCCAGAAGGAAGAGTAATAGAGAAGGGCCTAGAATGTCAAGCTGAGATACAGAGCTTTCTTCCATCTACTTAGAATGTCAAGTTAAACATTGGTAGTGTCACACATGATACCTGTACCTCGTTTGTCATATTTGTAATACTAGAAGAGGCTTAATACATAGTTAGACTTCTAAAAACCTCAGCTATTGATGTGGATGAGTGGAACCTATTTTATCAGGGGCATTTATTTATGTATTGGTTGTGGTAGGATTGTCCTCTGTTGCTGTTTTGTAAACAGAGGATTGTTGTTTGTAGTATGAACTGTTTTTTCAGGCAAGAAAGGCAGAAGAACTAAAGCTGATTATTTACTTTAAAATGAGAAAGCCTGTCGTTTTCACACAGAAATTACTGTCACTGAGTTAACTGTAACTAATGCGCTATTTAATGTGCCACAGATATCATTTGCATCTAGATTAATTTCTAATTCACAGTGAAATGAATTTTTTACCCCAGATGAAAATGACTTGTAACATCCACATTGAAATTCTGATTGGACGAAGCAAATAAAACCATCATAATTTCTGCTACAGATAAAAGGACACAGGAGAAGGGTGTAAGTTTGGCAAAATACTTAGCTTAAAGTACATGGAGCCATTCTAGCCAAATGCTAGCTTGAAGACTTTCTTGCCTGGTTGCTTGTTCCCTTAATTCTGTTGCCTCAGAGGTGCTCCAGTAACTTCATGAGGCCACACTGTGAACCACATAGTGGAATTTGTAAGGCTGGAAAAAAAATTCTCAAGTTTCAGGTTATTTTTCAGTGATGCAGGGCACCAATAGCTTCAAGGCCAGTTGCTGTGAATTAAAACCTCATCCCAAGTGAGTGCATAGGTACGATTCTGGCTGAATTGGGTCTGGAGGGAGCAGCAAGCACAGTGTAATACATTAGGGCCTTACAGTGTTAAATCACTGCATGCTCTGAGTCCAGTTCAACTTTCTATGAAGTTGGTGTGGGTCTTGCCATGGATCTGAATGAGGCAAGATTTTTCTTCATTTTGTATTGAGGTTGTGATTACATCCTGATTATAAACCTGTTGCAAAGTGCCCTGTGTATTACAGAACGGGTCTCACTGGATGGTGTTTCTGACTGTTGGGCTATATATGACTTCTTTTTGTATAATTTCTCTGTCAAACGTAGAGTTACTACTATGTGGATATTCTTTCTTTTGTAGCTGCAATGTATGGAATAGCTTTCTTGGAACAAGGCCAAGTAAATGCTCATTGGTGATAGATAATAAATTGAAAGCAAACAGCTGCACATGTACTTGTATGTTGGAAAAAGGAGAATGATGGTGTGCATACACACCTACATTAGGGCATTCATGCATCCAGGTATTTTTTTTTTACACACACAGAAATTCTGCAAGTCTGATGTTGGACTTAATGCACAAAATCTGTAAAACTGGGATATATATCCATATACACTGCATGCCAATGTGCCTTCCAAACAGAAGTTTGGCATCTGCAACAGCTTTAATATTCTTCTGGTTTTTTCTATTGAGTTGATTTAATGTATTGTGAGGGTTGGATATCACAGCGATGCAAAATGTAAACATTCTGGCTTTTAAAAGAAGTTTTAAAACCTGTGATAGAATTAAACTATAACTACAAGAAAAACAACAAACACTTACTGAATAGTTGCTTCCAGTATGAGCACTTGCAGCCTTTCCCTGGATTCTGCATCAATCCAGTTAAGATTATTTGCTTAAATTTTATGTTACTGTTCCCAATATGTAGGTTGCCTTCATGTCTGCTCTCTATCAAGACTTGATAATGTTGTTCTTCATGCATTTGTATGATTTGTGATTTTCCCTGTGTGCTTTATAAGGAGTTACGACTTGAGATTTGAACTGCTTGTCCATGTATACAGGGTATTTTATTCATAATGGACAAGCTATTCATTTGTAGTCAAATTAAGTACCAGTCTGGTCATTAACCTTTGCTTTCGTTCTTAATGATATTTTTGTTGTCTAGCCAGATGATATTTTCTTTGGCTTTACCCAATGAATTTCAGCATTTTGGAAGTATCTTTTACATATCAAGGAAAAACCAGTCTGTACTTTTGAAGAAATGTTCAAAATAGATACTGTGATTAAGTATCTTATCTAGGAATTACAAGACTTTCCTGTGGAACTGATTGGGCTTTGAACAGAATCCATAGGCAGAGGGTAGGTACATGCAGGCAAGCTGTTTTTTGTACAGTATCCTGCCAAGGGGAGGCAACATGTGGTCCCAGGTTGTGAGGGTAAGTATTAGCTAGATGAAACAGAAAACCCTTTTGTGTTTAATTAAGATTCTGATACCTATATTGGTGTATCTGCCTCTACATAAAGTAAGTATTTGTTGAAAGCTTTGCATTTTAATAAATTCAACTGTTTGGTTTGGGGTTTTTTTTCCCACCATAAAGTTGGTGTCAGTGTCGCGGTTTAGGCCTGATTGGCAGCCAACCACAATGCAGCAGCTCTGTCTCCCTTCCCCTCCGGCAATCAGAAGGGACAGAGAGCCAGGCTTGGGGTTCAAGATAAGACTGGGATGGGGAAAAATCCCCCTTTTATGATCACGAGCAAAAGGCAGACTCGTTAGGGGAAATAAAAAAGAACATACATTTATTACAGACACTAACAACACAGAGTAGGACAGTGAGAAGCATTGCCACATCTTGAGAACACCTTCCCCCCACCCCTCCCTTCTTCCCGGGCTCAGCTCTGCTCCCGATACCTCTACTTCCTCCCCCAGTGGCGCAGGGGCAGGGAATGGGGGGTGCAGGCAGTGCTGCTGCTTACTTCATGTTCGGTGAGGGGAGTTTCCGGAACTTGTTCCTCCTGCTCCATCGTGGTCCCCCTCTCACAGGAGACAGTCCTCCACAAACTTTCTCTGACATGAGTGCCTCCCATGGGCCGCAGCGTTCCCCACACTGCTCCGTCGTGTGTCACTAACTTCCTCCGACTGGATTCTCTCCCACGGCTGCAGCCCTTCCCGAGCTGCTCCGGCGTGGGACTCCCCCGCATGCTGCAATCCTCCCAGCGCTGAATTACAGCAGCGGGGCTACCTTTTCCCACGAGACCCTGGCCTTCTTCAGGCACAGAACCTTGATCATCGAGCAGGAGCCACAGGCCATAAATCAGTGTCTGCTCCACCGTAGATCTTCATGGGTGGCGGGGGGGGGCCGTCTCACCACAGGATACAGGGGGGTCTCTGCTCCAGCACACCTCCCCCCTCCTTTCTTCCTCCGTTCCTCCACTGACCTTGGTGTTCATGCAGCTGCAGCGACTCCTCCTCACAAGTCCCACTGCTCGTCACCACGTCCCTTCTTAAATACGTTATCGCAGAGGTGCAGCCGATTGGCTCAGTTTTCCAAACAGAAGTGGAGCTGACGTGGAGCTGGGGGAGCTTCGAGAAGCTTCTCACAGGGGGCTGCCCCGATAGCCCCCTCCCCTGCCACCAAAAAACTCCACCACTCACTCAACCCAGGACAGTCAGGTTCATAGCAATTTCAGACAACTAACAAACAAACTTTCAGGTGCATAGAAATATGTGCATTTTACAATGCAAAGCATTAACAGAAATGATCCTCATGATATTCAGGGTGCTTCCCTGTTAAACTGCAAGTGTTGATGTGAGAGCTTGCGAGGCAGGTTATCTAGGAGAAAATATGCCCAACTCCAGCTTTCAGCCAAAGTAGCTTTGGCACACGCAAGAACAGTGACAAGACCCTATGCACGAAAAATCTTTTAAATTTGTAATGGTGTGCTGTATTAAGAACAGAACAAGACCATTTACCTTGTTCACAGTATTAAGAGTATGCAGTTTTTTAAATCAGACATGAGAGATTTTTCTAAGGTTTGGGGTTAAGAAAAGCAATTAAAGCTTGCTCCTTTCTATATGCACTAGATCAGCATAGGACGTATGCAGAGAATATGAAAATGTTAGTCAGCTATATACTATTCCTCTCTACAGGCTGATAATGCTAGACGATGTATTGGAACTGTACTCTGTAGCTCATCAGAATTCTTATTTCTCTCCTGATATTTACTTTCCTTCTATGTCATCTGTGAATGTTCTGATGAATTAAAATATAATACTCCTTTAAGCCTAGCTCTTACTGGGATTTTTCTGTGCTTACCTACAGCATGTAAGCAAGAACATAACTTCTTTTGGTATTATTTGTGCAGCTTTATTTAAAAGCAGCCTTTTTCTTCTGTTATAGGTTGGCTGTGATATGTCAGTCATGAATTAATTTTAAATGTCTTTTAGGCAATCCATCATTGAAACAGATAAAAAAGTACAGATACTGTGAACATTCATTTCTTGTCTTATGAAATTATTTCAATAAGCATATAAAGAATAGAAAGTACTTATGTACCATGAATTTCTTTAAATCATGGCCAGAAAATACCCAACCCTTTCTGTTGTAGTTCTAAAGCTGTATTTTGCTTGACACAGATGTAAAAAAACCTGAAGCTCTGAATTTGGTCTGAAAACCTTTCTCAGACTACACCTCACATCTGTTCTGAACTCTGTAAAGCAGCCAGTGGAAAGTATAAGTTAATGCTTTCCATTGAGCCAGGCTTGCTGCTGAGAACAGGATTAAGTATCTGATGGGAGCAGGAGAGGAATCTTTCCATTTCTCTGTACTTTTACACTATGAACAATGACATTCCTAAATTGCAAGGATACGTAATTT